CAGTCTGTGGCGGGAGGACAGGCCTGCCACCAAGCCGAGACCTGTCACAGAGGCCAGGGCTGGTCACTGTCACCGAGTCGCTCTCCGGGCCCAACCCTGGGAATCCTTCTGTGCAGGCGGCATCGGGAGCCCCAGAGAGGGTGGTCAGGGCCTCACTGCAGCAGGAGAGCCGGTGGAATCTCAGCATCTGCTGCCCAAAACCACACGGCCTCGAAGATGATCATGAAAACGACTCTAACAGCCTTTAATGGACAAGCAGCAGCAATGCCCGGCACCCAGAGCCAGAAGAAAACACGATCAGGTCTCCATCAGTAGCCAAAGGGGGGGGAGGGAGGAGAAACACTGGAAATACAGGAAGCAGAACGTGTGTACACTGTTCTAGGACAAGAAGCACACACATGCACACACGCACATATACCTGCACACACATGCACGCACACATGCACACATGCACATATGCATGCACACCACACACATGCTCACACATGCACATATACACGCACACCACACACATGCTCACACATGCACATATACATGCGCGCACACATGCACACCACACACGCAGTGCACACAAGCGCACACACGTGAACACTCATGCACACACACACAGATGCACACACGTGCACACTCATACTCGTGCACACATGCGCATAGTGCACACATGTGCATACAAGCCACACATGCATGTGCATGCACACATGTGCACACATACACACATAGCCAGGGCTGCCAGCAAAGAGAGCAGGAGCAGAGCCACCCGGACATGGGAGTAAGACGCAGGCTGACTCGGATCTGTAACTTGCTGCCGTGTGTGTCCTTGGGCAAAGGACCAGCCCTCCCTGCCCAGCCTCCCTCACAGGGTGCAGTCGGATCACACGTGCGGTGGGGTTCAGGCGACACTTGGCACATCCTAAGCTCAGGTCCCGTTATCGCGGCTGACTGCGTACCCAGGGCGGGGACGCCCTCCTCTCCAAGTGATCTGTGAGGACCCCTGCCCATCTACGCCTCACACACACATTTCTACACTGTTGCCACCCGTGGCCTTGGACCCAGCTGGACGGAGGCCGTGGCCACAGAGAATAATCGACAATTGTCTGCACTGGCCAGCGGCCCAGGCCCTCGGCTTCCAGACCATTCACGGGGGCCGCAGAGCCGCCAGCCAGGCAACAGGGCTGGAGGGGCCAGGGGCCGGGTGGCCCCCTCCCCTGGGGCTGTCGCCTCCCAGCCCCACCTGGCTGTGGCCAGGCAGGGACCAAGTCCAAGCGACCAGGTACCACATTTGTAAGGAGCAGAGATCCAGATTTTTACGTGAAATACTCTGGTTTTTTAAATACTGGCAGTTTATTCATTCAAATGTTGAAAAAACAGTGCGCAGGTGGATACGAGTCCCCGGGCCGGACGGGCCACAAGCACCAGGACGAGTGTGGGCAGAGGACACGAGGGTCCGCCTTTCTCGGCCACACGCCCCCGGCCCTGTGTGTCAGGGCGGCCTTCACGCTCCGTGAGGCGAGCGGGGTCCTGGGCTGGCTCCACCCGCGGGTCTCAGCTGGGCCCCTCTGCGGCCACAGGCGGGTGCTGGCCGGGGCTGCTCCTCTGAAGACCCGCCGGGCGGCATTCCAAGGCAGCGGCGGGAGGACCAGAGGCTAGAAACGAGCCTCATCCCGGGTCGTCTCAGAGCGGGGCCACGGGCTCCAAGGGCAGGGTCCCGGAGGGGAGGCCAGCCTGAGGCCCCCGGCCACCACTGCCACGTCCCCTGCTCACGGGGGAGCTGAGGCGCCGTCAGCAGCCAGCCTCCGCTTTCCTGCACCGCCTTCAACCAAGCACTCGGGCAGGTGTCGGAGCCACGGCGCAGCAGCCCAGCCTCCACCTCAGCTACACCTTCGCTCTTTCCACCGGGAAATGCCAGGCCCACAGGCGCCTGGAGACAGGGTCATGTCCAAGGCCACTTCCACGGCCGCAGATGGAGGGAGGTCACGGACGGTTATCACAGAGGGCCAGACCCCAGTCGGCAGAGCAACTTGGGGGCCTGTGGCCGAGGGTCCCCGGGTCAGCCCAAGCATGGCTGAGCGTGACCCCCGCCGTCCGCAGAGGGAGGACAGCGCCCTACCCGCCC